TATCATGGAATTTTGTATGGATGTTTCTTGGGATCTGACACATCGCATGCATTTGTTTTTATATCTGACTCTCATAGAGGGCGCTAGTTACACGGTTCGTACCGAGTAGTTTTGAACGTAACTTTTTTGAGGTTAGATGTTTCAATCCAAATTTGATGTGAACTTGACCATCATTCAATTTCACACCAAAAAGGTACTCTTGGTAAAACTCGGTACTGTGTTCCGTTTTCGGAATATTTCGATTTGAAAATGATGAAGTGGTAACTGTTGCTGGTATCTTTATGTATTAGAGTGAGTATTATGAAAAATTATCACCTATTTATTGAAAACCGAAAACAACAATACATTTCTGGTGCAGCAGAACTCATTGATTTAACAATGCATTACAAGAATAACATCGAAACAGATTTGACTAAGAACATGGATTACACAGTTTTGTTGTATCTTGAGCAGAAAGTCTATGCTACAAAGGTAAATTCACGTCAAGAGTTGTGAGACATAATTGAACATCACCTAAATAACCTAACAGCTGATCCTCAACCGTTCAGAAGAATAATTCATTCTTAAAAAAAATAGAACACTTACTCTAACTGATTCAATATTTCATGTTTCTAGTCAAATATCTCTTAATTTTCTACTTATGATTCTTTCTTCCATCAATAACTTCAGCACAAGAATAATTATATTGTTTTTGAACCTGAATAAAAAGGCAATTGAACTCAATGAAATTCATTTTATACCAGCATCATTACTACTCCATTATTTTCAAACCGAAATATTCCGAAAACGGAACATAGTATCGAGTTTCACCTAGAGTACCTTTTTGGTTTGAAATTGGATGATGTTCAAGTTCATATCATATTTGGATTGAAAAATCTAACCTCAAAAAAGCTATGTTCAAAACTACTCAGTACGAACCGTGTAACTAGCGCCCTCTATGAGAGTCAGATATAAAAACAAATTCATGCGATGTGTCAGATTTCAATAAACATCCAGGAAGGACGGAAAGTGAAGGATGGAAACTGCTGACGTGAGGATCGGATTTTAGAGTTAGGTTAGGTTCGTAAATAATTGTTTGCTCATAATAAAATTTAAAAAATCATCATTTGTTCATAATTCCACAGTATAATACCGTGAACTTCGATGTATTCCTTTATAACGTGGTTAAAATATAGCAAAGCATAATGTCAGTAACCTTGAGGAACATGAAAGAGCCATTGAAGATGCTAATGAAATGAACTGCGATAATGATTTCATTCAGTTCGGTGGAATCTCGAAACTCACACCCTTTAATCCAACGTTATTGCTCCAGATCTTGGTATTGAATAATATTGAATGTAGGTCAGGGTTAACCTAGGTATATGTATTCTTTTCCAATATGGTGAAAGTGATCTACACAAATCTGTTTGGCATGACACTACTTATTGTCATTTACTGATTCAGACTTGGTTTACTTTTAGGAAATTCCCATTATATTATGTTTGTTGCTGGATGATTGATAACTCCATTGATGATGTGAATAAGTGTGTACCTTTGTGCAGATCCATATATAAACAAGAAAATTTGAAAATTCAAACTTACCTATGAAAAGAGGATTCGTGTCTATTCTTTTGTCCGCAAATACTGCATTTCGTTCCACTAGACATGGTTAAAAAGTTCAGTCTATGAAAAATAAACGAAAACACAAACACTAAAGAATTGTACAACTAAAAACGCAAATATTCGAATTTCAATCACAATCAATCACATACGCGCTAAAACCAATTTGAAAATTTGAAATTTGTAGCCATATTGGTTGAACAAGCTTCGTATTATTTTTTCCCTGCGCCGGCAACACTGCATGTCGTGTTGTTCCAGGGTGTACAGAAAGCTGTACATTTGAATGTTCAACTGTACCAGAGCAATACAATCAAAAAATGTGCACAAAACTGTATCATTGTCATGTGGACATGAAAAAAAGTATGTACGCTGGTCACACCAGAATAGAGCAGTTCAGCTACCGTTGAGAGAGAAAAAAAATGTCTTCCCATCTGTCCTTGTCTTCAGTGTTCCAACATGAAATAATGAAAATCTTATGTTGCCAACACTGGAAATGAGAAGAAATGGAGAAGAAGACTGTTCTAACCTTCTTTTATATCGAGGTTAATATGATATTCTTCTCCATTTTTTCCCATTTCCAATGATGCCAACATAATATTTTCATTATTCTATGTTGGAACACTGAAGACAAGGACAGATGGGGAAGACATTCTTTTTCTCTCTCAACGGTAGCTGAACTGCTCTATACTGAATTACCATATATCTACTACTCTATATATGAAGCATAGCTGTCCTCAAAGCGGGACCAACTTCTGTTTCTATAGGTAACGAAATCGACCAATAGACGTTGATGCCGATGTGGGGAAAAAATAATACGAAATTTGTTGTACCAAAATGGCTACGAATTTCAAATTTTTAAATTGGTTTTAGCGCGTATGTGATTGATTGTGATTGAAATTCTAATATTTGCGTTTTTGTGTTCTCGTTTATTTTTCATAGACTGAACTTTTTTAATAGTTAATGTTTAGTGGAACGAAATGCAGTGTTTGCGGAGTAAAGAATAGACAGGAATCCTTTTTTTCATAAGTAAGTTTGAATTTTCAAAATCTTGGGATTGCAAATAAGTATAGGTAGATCTGAAACTGAAAATCATCGAACTGAAGTTAAGATTTAGGAGAAAGCTTTCGATAATAATATCTTATCTGATATGCATAGGTAGTACGGTACTAATAAAGGCTATTTTACCTATAAATAAAAAAACATGATTACATTTGATAAAATCCAAAGCTTTGTAGGTATTGGTTGGTTCAACATGAGTTATTTGACAATGGAGATTCAGCCTTCAGCTTCTGATGGTTTCGAACAATATGACATTTCATCTTTGTTGATAGTGATAGGTCATAAAATGTCACTTTTCATAAGTTACTTTATTTTCACGGGGAGAAAAGTTAGTACTTTTTTTGAGCAACTGATAATTTTAGATTTGTTAATTTCAGACCAACCAATCACAATGGAGAACCATTTTCCTCATCACCGCATGCGTATACTTAGCAGCCGATTTGTTCTTCATAATCTTCGCATCGGGAGAAATACAACCATGGAATGACGTCACAGAAGAAGAAGAAACGAATTCCAAGACGGTTCCAGAATGCCCAAGCACCAAACGTACTGATCTCATTTGTTAGTGATAAAGTTTGCCTATTTATTTTGTTGAATACTCATTTATGTTTTGATATTATATGTCGCCATAATATGATAAAATATATTTTTTAACATGTCCAAAAGTAGCTTTTCGACTATCAACTTCTCGTTGATAATAAGAGTTTAGAGAATACTGATGGTTAGCGCAGTTATTAAATGTGCATATTTAATAATAAGGAAGAACACTGATTTCGGAAAATCTCGCGGAAGATCCACAATGTTGCCGTCTCAAACGATTCTACAGCTTATTGGGAAAGAAAGTTCAAATCCCACTTGTTCTTGTTTCCTTATAAACTGTGATTGTAATTGTGACATATGACATATAAATATTGAAGTGATGTTATCAGAATTTACTGATGTTCATTGAAAAGCAAATATACCAAAATCGTTCAAATAGAATATATAAACCTCGGCATGAACATACAGTTAATCATGGATTAACTCATTAATCTATATTGTTAGAAACAAATCGAATTGTTGTATCATCAAATGATTCATCAAGCCGCTGGCGATCGGACAATGGGATATTATTCATCATTCTACTGTCGACGCTCGCATCAAACAGCCGCTTGAATCAACCTCGAGTGTCATTTTGTTGTTAGTTCGTTAAATATTTATTTGTTAGTCAATTATTTACAAGTGTAGCAATAAATACTATATCTTGAGAAAGTGATCTAGTGATTTGTTTCCTGTTTCCAACAATATGGTATAATTGAGGTTGACCGAATTTTGTCGCTGCTGACTGAATCAACAACATGGTAAAACCTACATTGGTGACATTTATTATGTCAATGAATATCAAATCATCCCAACAGTTCAGTTAGATCGTTTTTAGAATATTGAGAAATGATGACTCATTGGTATTTCCCTAAAATGAAACAGCTGGCAACACAGGAAAAAGGATCGACGTTGGGGATCCTATTACAATTGTACTGAATCTATCACTATTACACCTTGCTTGCAAAAAGCAAAAAACCGATAAAATCATCATAATCTAGTACGTTCTTCGATTACATCCATAATAATGTAATTTATAATGATGATGTCATCAAGAATATGAGTAGACCAATGAATTCGCATCTGGAGAAGACAATTGACGTGTCTGAGCCTTTTTTCACAATTTACATATCAAACTTTTGATGCATCTGGTCCAACCTTATTTCAGTCAGAAGTATTTAAATGTTTCATTCCACATTTTCATTATTGACCTGGTTATTTATTTCGTTCCATTTTTCGTTATAGTAGTTATTGAGTGTTTATAATGTTTCAGAACCACCCAAATAAAGTTTCATTTTCAATATTCCTATATTTTTACATCACATGTCGAATCTAGTACGAACTATTACAATTTCGTACTAGATTTGAGTACGAAGAATCACAACTAAAAACCATGCTAAAAACCCAACGCTGGAAAGGATTATGACGTCAGAGTACTGGATAGGCGAAATTGTCGTATTCAAATGGTGTTTGTTGAGGTATTACCGAGCATTTTTTCAAAAAAATTATGCATTCATGTGATGTTACCTATATTTAGTCTGTCTCTATTGATTAATTTTCATTCCAATGGAGTTTCAATTTGAAAAAAAAATCCAAATTATCATGAGATCTGGAAGAAAATTCTGGTCAAATGAATTCATGATTTGTTTGTTCTTTTTTCAATTGAGAGTATCAATTTTGAAAATCACTCCCAAGATTCTAAAAGTATGATGGTCTCTAGGATAAAACAACTAATAATTATTCAGAATCATGAAAAAAACATTTATTGAATGGATACTTATTCATTCTAAAAATTCATATTTCATCTGTGGACAAAATATGACCACAGATCTCAATACTTACCCAAAGTTTTTCAACTATACACTCAAATTTTTATAGCAACACACAACACAACACACATCCAATAATTTCTGTATGCACATCAACATTTTGTTAGTATACAGGGTGTTATAATATGTGACCAAACTTCAAGGCATGATTTTTCCAGTGAAACCTACACTGAGACAAAAAGTGCATACAAACTTTTTTGTGAATATCTTACCAATTGTTTACTGTGGTTTACTGGCAGGGTGACTTGAAGTAGTAAGGGACTAATTCGACCAAAATTAGACTTACAAAACAAAGATAACTATGCATTTCTGGCCTTATATGTATATTAGAACTTTCAGTCTCAGAATCACCTAAGTCATCCATTGAAGCTTGAATTTTGGTCACATACTTAATCAGCACCCTATATAATTTGAACTCAATTTATCCATACACAGTCAATTCTTCTGTGCCCATAAAATAGGCTCAAATATTTCCTGAACATTTCAAATTAGGAGGAATATATTATTGAGAAATACAAATCCACTTTTCAATTTTTATCATTCATTGACCTAATAAATTCAAGTGCTTCTGATGGTCACCTGAATTGCTGTTTCTAACAAACTAAGCAGTTTGAATATCAACTCCAAGTTTCAAACAGTAGGTACTAAGAAAACAACACAAATTTTCCATATCAGTCTTACAATAGAGCATTCTTTTATAATGGTGTTGTGGACAACACTGACAAAATATAAATACACCCAGTACATCCCAACAGAAGGGTAACAATAGAAACTAAAGGATAATCATCAAGATCTCCAACAGGCACATAGAGCTCTACTTCATCAAATAGCTAAAATCAATATTCAATTAGTTCTTTAGGAAATAATTGATTTCCTAAAGTATTGGACATATTTCCTTAAACTAGGTACTCACAGCTTGATAACTGAAATTCTTCCAAATGCACACCTTGTGAGCAGTTTCATCACAGGGTGCCTCAACTTTCAGGCCTCTTACACATGCTCTTTTGGAAGACTCCGAACACAACATCAATAGACTTGGTTTCCTCAAAAGTACTTTTCCATAACTGAAAAAAATCAAATTGTAAATATGAACCAATGAATAAAAGTATGAAATAATCTATATGGTACATACCCTCCTGTTATTTGACTTCTCTGGTATCTCATATGAACTGGTAAAGTTATTGAAGCTCTTTCTATGTCACTTTGATTCAAAAATACATAGATTATGTGCTCCTGTGATTCATGTGCTGGGGCTTCTACATCAACAATTCCATCTATGTAGGAAATGAGCTGTGGAGGAACATACAACTGAAATTAATATATCAATTTCAATACCTTGAGCAATGACAAACCTCTCCTGTTCTATTCAGGTCTGCAATTTCATCAGGATTGACAAACATCCCATTGGGAATATCTTGTTTTATACTGAACTTGCAATCAGACTGAAACCATTTCTGTTCAGGGGTATGGGTGCTTTCAATTAGCCACAATATATTCCTGTGGAAGAAATCAAATAAATTGAAGTTATTATTCACAACTTGAAAGTCCAGCTTAAAGTATTTTACCTGTGGAAGCCTTCATGTTCCACCTTTTGTGTGATAGATATGTCTAATTTTGTGCATTCATCACAATGTACACAGTGAAATGAAAAGAAAATACACATCAATATCAACTGAACTTTCATGAGGAATCTTTTTATTTTTATCAGAAGAAACACCTTTGAGGTTATCTCAGTTGACTGACAGTACCACAGTTGCTAACTTGCTACTGAAATGCTTATAACTAGGTACAAAAAAGAGAATCATCGCATGAGCCGTTTAAAATTATCGTACCTTATCGTACAAAAAGTTGAGTTGCAAATAAATGTCCTTTAACACGAGAAAATTATTACAAAAACGTCCGATTGTCCGATGCGCGAGCAAAATATATATAATGCAAATAATGCAAGGAGCAAAACAATAATAAACCGAATTCGGTGAATCCCGCAAATTGCTGTGAATCCCCATATTTGTTAATGTTTGAAAACATGAAAACACCTTGTAAAAAACATGTCATGTCAGAGAGACATTGTCAGACAGACCGAAGTGTTTCAATAACTAGTTCATCTATTGAACATATTAAAACAATATCCTTCCTTATTCGTATACGATTTGAATTCGAACGGATCGAGAATAGACCCCCCTGAAACAAAAGCGCATCAGTAAGATTGTTATGCGCATGCGGAAGTCACAAAGCAAAGTGGAATCCGTGTCGCTAGCCGCTTTAATATGTGGTTACTGTTGATTACTATGGTTAGTGGTTTAGAATTGATTTCACGGCAACGTGAGCTTAGACACGGCCAGTATAACCACGTCTCTGTCATCCCTCATTGATAAGAATGATAAGAATTGTCATAATACCGGATCTGGTGGAATTGATACCGCAAGGAATCAGAAAACCAAGAAGCCTAAAAGAAGAAGAAGAAGAATTGTCATGTCATTTGTCAATTGTCATTTGCCATGTGGAAGTGACATGAATGAATAATGGCTCAAATATTTGTATAAAAAAGGGAAATATTTCACTTTTTAATAATAAATAATTAATAGTGAGGCCTTCTGTATTAGTAAAAGACCAAGTTAGTTTGCATGGCCATCCCCTAATTGCGAATATGTCCTGTAAATCACATTTCAGGTCTTCAGAAGTCAAACAAGAACCACAAAAAATGCCAACACAGTTTGTTGACGTTGATTCAAACAATGAAATAAGAGCAAAAATTGCTTATAATGGTGAAATTTTGATAACTTACATTGATCAGAATATAACATTGGAGCAGTTATGTCAGGAAATCAGGGAGATATGTCGATTCCCCTATGAGCAAGAATTCACCATGAAGTGGGTGGATGAGGAAGGAGATCCTTGCACAATTTCATCTCAGATGGAACTCAATGAAGCAGTGAGGCTGTATGAACTCAACAGAGATTCTGAGCTGACAATTCATGGTTAGTAATGATTAAATCCAGAATTTATTACCTATTTTCATATGATACTTTAGTGGCTAGGCAGTATTCTATTGGAGGTAAGTGACTAGGTTTAAATGAACAACTCACATAATGCTTACATTACTTATACTTAGGCCAAAGCACTCAACAGTAAGAGCTTGCATACAGATCTGGAGTCTAGGTTTGCAGACCTATAATATGGTATAGATAACATTTTGCCAAGATCCAAGAATTTATTCAACATTCATTTTGATTCTTCCTAAGTAATAATCTTAAATATGGTCATTCTAGTCCATCATGTTTGGAGTTTCCAAACAGATTTTAAATACATTGATAGATTGATTCAATATTATACAAATGGGTTCACTTTGAGTTTAAAACACTTTGAATTTCTTGTAACTGCATGAAATACCTTGTAAAGTACTTCACTTATTATATGGACATTATTTTCAACAACATATCCACAGATATATGTTCTGCAAATATCAATATGATTTTCTGTTATATTTTTCTGTACATCTTAGGAGTACCTATATTGTTGAGTAGATAGGTATATTGTATGATGAGAAATATAAATAATAACATCAGAAAGTTGCTGGGAAAATTCTAACATTCTGAATTGTATAATCTATGCATAAGAATAAATTGACAGTTAAAAAAAATAAAAAAATCAAGAGTTACCTAAGTACCTATCTCCTATCTGACTAATCAGGATATGATTTTCTAGGTTTCTGTCATTATTTCCAAAGACTGTAATGTAGACTGTACCTATTGAAAATTATTTCTTATCAATACATTTTAACAGAGATTTTACCTACTGTCATGATTTATGGACTATCAATGATTTCCTGATATCTTTTTCTCTTGATTTTCAACCCACTGCTTCACTATGTCTCTAGGAACCTGGAAATGAAATTGATTTTTCTGAGAATATACAATATTATGCCATGATTTTACTATTAATCTGAAATTTCTCAATGAACTCCTATGACTATCAATAATTTACTATGGGACTGATCTAATACTTAGCATACATTATTTACCATGTTCTCTTCTTGGTTCTCTTAGAATTTATCAATACTCTGTATGATTCAGAATATCAGTGGACTATGAGTGACTTACAAATGGATCATTAATGGACTATCAAAAATTCCCAAGGACCTATTTTATTTGATTTCTTGTTTATTGGATCTTCAATGTTTTTTTACAACTATCATTGTCATCAATGGACTATTACTGATTTTCTATTATCTTCTGTGATTTTGATTCATCCTGACCTTTTGAGATGGTTCAGTGATTTCCTTATTACCTACTAGAAGTGATTCATGTGTTCTCTTGGAATTATAAATGCTCTGTTATGATTCAGAATATCAATGGGACTATAAATTGACTATCAATGGACTATTAATAGTTCTGATTTATTATAAAAATATCCATTGATTTTCTAATACATAAATGTGTTACCATGTTCTCTTGACATTATCACTATTCTGTCATGATTCAGAATGTCACTGGACTATAAATTGATTATCAATGAACTAAAAATTGACTATCAATAGAATATTGAGTATTGATTGACTATCAATAGACCATTAGTTGACAACCAAAGGACTATCAATGATTCCTAAGGTTTTATTTTTCATGAATACTTGTTCCTGGAGCTTCCTGATTGACTATCAATGGACTATTAGTAGTACTAACCCCGGTACTAATTCATGATTTCTTGTGGAACTTTTTTTTTTCCGCTTGGAGCGCACGAAAGGGAATCCCTATAATGTTCAAAGAACATCGTGCGTTCCTAGGGAGGATAGGGATAGGAGGTAGGTATTGGAATTTTTTTTATTCATCAATTTCCTGATACATTAATTAACCATGTTCTCTGGGGATTAACACTTATCTGTCATGATTCAGAATGTCAATGGACTATAAATTGACTACTAATGGATTACAAATTGACTGGTAATGGACTATCATTGAACTAAGAATGTACTATCAGTGATTGTCAATGGTTTAATCCCCATGATTTCTTGTTCCTGGGGTTTCCTAATGGACTAATAATGGGGTCTTAATTGGACTAATGGTTTCTTATGAAATCTCTTTTGTGATTTCTTATCCAGTGATTCACTCCTCATTTCCGTACTAGCCCCACCCACATTGCCTGGTTTTACTACAAACAAATCATTAATGGACTATCAAAGATTCTCAATAGCCTATTTTCTATGATTGCTTGTTTCTGGAATTTTGATTCATCCTGACTTTCTGTGATTAATTACTTACTATAAGTGATTCACAGTGTTCTCTTGAAATAATTATCAATGCTCTGTTATGATTCAGACTCGGATTCAGAATATTGATGAACTATAAATCGACTATCAATGGACTATCAATGATTTCCAACGGTTAATTTTCCATAATTCCTTGTTCCTGGGGTTTCCCGATGGACTATCAGTAGACTATTAATAGTTCTGATAGTTTCTTACGAAATTATCCATTCATTTCCTATTACATGAATCTTTTACTATGTTCTCTTGAGATTATCATTGCTCTATCATGATTCAGAATGTCAATGGACTACCAATGGATTTTCAATGACTCTCAACGGTTCTTGGGGTTCCCTAATGAATTATCAATGGACTCTTAATAGTAATAAGTACCGATGATTTCTTACGAAATCTTTTTCGTGATTTCTCATCCAGTGATTCACCGCTAACCCAGCCAACCATCGTGTGACATCAACATCTGTGTGATGTAACAACCGATGTAACAACCTTGCATAAATGCAATATCTCGTTTACATCTTATCGACGTAGATTCGATAGCGACTTCTTCAAACTACATCTCTTCGACGATAACTAAATAATTCACATTGATATCCTCATGAGATATATTTGTGACCTGTGAGTGTGACGCAGACATGCGCAAAACGAACGCACACGCCAGACGCCATGTTGAGCTGTGCATGGCCATGTCAGTCAGTCAGTGAGTGAGTCCGACTCCGTATATACAGACTATTTCCTTCCAAATTCTCTGTTGAAATATCTGAGATGATTTATAGCACATATTATAGCAGCTTCAATCACAATAGGTAATATTGTAATTATCTCTGAGATAGGAATATTGCAATCTAAAACAAGGTGGATGAAAGATCCCAAGATAATGTAAGTGTATTCAATATGTATCATTTATGAATAATGTATATTTGTATTGCTATATATATGTGTCATGTTTTACTTCAAGATTACTAATTAGGGTGATTGTCATGATAAGTTTTGTATCATGTGTTTTTACTTTCGGAAAATAAACATTTTCTTCGTAAAGTTTTGAATATATATTATTATTATATATCCCACGAATATCACAGGTACGGCGAGCACATCATCATCGATGTCGCAGTGTGATGTATTTGTAATATGAAATGTACACCTGTATGTGACCTGGTAGTGATTTTTCATGTGATGTCGCATTTCATGTCTGAACGACGTCACAGTGATGTTGCTTGAGTCGGACATTTTCACATCGCCACGTAGTATCGGTAACATGTTTGTGACTTCAAATGCGATATCGCATGTCAAAAAGTGATTTGGCGTATACATCACTTATACATCTCATGGTTGGCTGGGAATTTCCAAACTATTTAGTTACAAAATGAGTGAACGTCGATCAACCGTTCGCGATCGTCGATTCGTTTGTGTTTGTAGGCAGCGTTGTTCCTAGGGTAATTCTGATTATACTGTCAAATAGTGTAGAATTGTACAACTTTTCGAGGAATTGTACAGTCGCCATCTATTTTACTAGCTTAGAACATTTTATTTGACATGACATGTGAATCAGAAGTGTCTAAATCTTTCGAAGGAATACAATCACTGAATGTGCATGCGCCTATAATGTATCACGTGACTCAATGTGACTAATCTGAGAAAGAAAACGCACGGATTCACGGAACAATGAAAACTCCACATATTGTGTGGAATCAGAATACATCAATATTGTCGAATTGTACAGTTTTGTACAGATTTTTTGATTGTATCGCCTTGGTACAGTTTAACATGCAAATGTACAGCTTTTTGTACAATTGTACACCCTGGAACAACACGATCGTCGATCAACCGTTCGCGATCGTCGATTTGTTTGTGTTTGTAGGTCATCCGATTTTTCTATCCCCCCCCCTCTCCCTTTTCCCGGTTAACCATCCCCACCCCTCGGAATTTCGGGAGCGTCGTCGTATCGACCGACGTCCCGGCGGCGATCCGACGCCGCCGTTGCCAGACCGTCCCTCGGTAGGTCACGTGACGCCACACGTGATCGGTCTTGCCTTGGATTATAAAGGCGGAAGGTAGGGGGGAGGGGATGTGGTGATTTCTGGAATCGGGAAGAAACGAGTGTTTTGACATTTGTGGTGTTATGTGGCCCTGGTGTTAATTTTCAAAAGTCCATTTTTCCGCACTCGTTTTACTGTTGAAAGAGTCACTTTCCCGCACTAGTGCGGAAAAAACTTTCAACACTACAATGAGTACGGAAAACAATAATTTGGGTTTTTCTCGCACGATAGTAAAAAAAAACATTGTACAGGGTGCGCCTCTCAAAATGGAACCCCCCTTAACTCTCTTGTTTTCAGAAATGTGAGAAAATGTTAAATGAAAAATGGAAATGTCAGGAATATAAATGTCAAAAAATGGCAAATGTGGTTTCATTGTACTCAAAATGATATTCTCTATCGAAATCATTTGAATTAAGAAAATTTGAGTAATTTCCTGTCAAATCGGAGTTTAGAATAGAATAGAATAGAAGTTTATTGCAGTACATACATAAAGTGTTTGCCTACGCCAATAGTAATACATAGTATTTGTATGAATCATAATTAGTATAACAAAAACAAAAAAACATTGTACAGTGAATATACAGTCAAATACAAAACTCTTAGCAAAGAATACAGTCATAAAAACAGAGATATAGCAGTACACAAAATATCTGTTACTACTAGGCAGTTAACGAATCAGTTA